AACCTGTAATGGTTATACTACACAAAAGATACACATCGTGTGTTTCCTCAGTAACGCAAGACGAGCCTAGGTCAGCCTTTGTGGAATCAGTTCACGGTGAAAAGCAACATGACAATCGAAGCTCTGACAATCTCAGTGACGTTACTGGTCTTCGTGACGAAGTCAAGGACCCTTTTCCGCGCCTTTAGGCGTATAGAGAATATAGGGCTAGACCTATATTTTTATAAACCAATCGGTACAAGGTGGGTGATGTGGTCAGCATCAAGCCAGTCGACTTTACTTCCGGTAACTGCACCCAGTACCCGCTCAAGGCTGGGTCGATTTTTAAAAGTCCGCCTCTGGCAGGGAGCGAACCCACGACCTTCTGATCCGTGGCGAGCGTCTAGCCGCTCGGCCACGACGACTCTCCGTGACGAAGTGGTCAAGCAGTTTACCTCGCGCCACGGATACCCCTCGGGAGCTACGGTGTTTATGCTTTTTGCGACCCTGTCGGCAGGCGGCTAGCTGGTCTGCAGAGAGGGACAGATGCAAATGGGATAAGACCTGGTGCACTGAAGTCGACCCTCTCGACCTAACAGTGAACTTTAACCTTTCAGATACGTGCAATGAAACTTAGTTGTTTACGTGAGAATTTGTGGTTTGTATGTGTATATTTGTTGAGGCAGTTGTATGATAAAAATGTAAAAGTAAAGATCCCTTTTCACGCCTGTAGACGCATCGGGCATATGGGAAAAGCACCCATATTTTTACAAACCAATCGGCACTAGGTGGGTAATGTTGTTAGCATTACACCGGCCGTCTTTACTTCGCCAGGACATACATCATGGTACCCATTTTAGGCTGGGTCGACCTGCGACGCCTCAAACCGTGATAAAAATCCACGTAGTTGTGTGATAGCCAGCATCTAATGTTATTTTGCATTAGCATTCCATGTCTATCCTTTTCTGGTCACAGATATTGCATATTTGTTCCTTTTCTTCATAATGCTTTTAAATCTTCTTTTTTTTTTTCAATTTTCCCATTCTGGGTTGGCAGCCCGATAGATTGATACCCAGAAACACAAGGAAGAGTCTATGATTGTTATTCTCCACGTTCACTGGCTGTCAACTCCGGCAGAAATTTTAGGTCCACGTCTGAACTCTAGTTTTGTTACAGAAACTGAGTACAGTATGGACATCCGTTTTACAGATCTGACTTATTTTTATGCACACTGTTGGTTCCTTGCCTTTCTTGCAGACACACTCCGACTTCGAAGAAAGCCCTCAATTAGTTGACTGTTACGACAGGTAGGCAAAGGATTTATTCTTGTTTTCACCAGAATGGAGTCCTGAAACCCACACGGGGAACAGAAATCACTTTTCAAAGCGAATGCAACAAGGGTAAATATACGTAAGTCTCACCTCAGTGACTGAATATTTGTTTTGTTATTTTCAGATTACAGACAACACAACTGTCGGGGCTATGTACGCAGTTTAAAAAAAAAAAATGTGACTGGTTGCACTCATGAAACACTCTATATACGAAACCCCATTAAACCTTTTGAAACAGTGACACAGTGGCACCTTGAGGTTACGAAGTAACCAGCTGCTCTATCTTTGTGGTTTATTATTTTTTCCTCTTTAGATTTACAGTATGTAGGATTAACAGATGAATCTCTTTACAGTTAACAACGAGTAGCAGTTAGAGTAGCTGGTGAAACATCGGATTTGTTTCGGGTGCAGAGAGAAGTAAGACAGGACTGCATTCACTCTTTATCCTTTTTCAATATATGTGCTGAACATATTATGAGACTTGCGATTAGTGAAGAGGCCTGTGACAGCTTCGATCCACTGAAAAGTGGAGGTAGACCAAACTTAGAACTCATCTGCGGACAACACAATTCTTCATTCTAACAGTGTACAAGGCTTAGAGAAATTAATTTTGACTGTCGAAAAGCACAGCAAAGAAGATAATCTATTTCTGAATCTGAAGAAAAAAAATATTGTTCACACTGAATAAAGAACACCTACCAAGTATTAAAATCAGCAACGAAGAGATCGCAAATGTCACAGATTGTGAATATTAAGACTCAGCAATGAATTTCAATAGCCACTGCACAAAAGAAGACAGAAAAAGCCTTGCTTTAGCGTTTCAGATTCTAAACAGCATGAAAAACCCATGACATAGCAGCACCTGCAAGCAAGTTGAAGTACACAAAAATCAAATCGTTCATCTTATCCGTGGCAACTTATGGATGTCAGTCATGGACTCTCACTCAGTCTCTTAAGAACAAACGAACGAACGAACGAACGAACGAACGAACGAACGAACGAACGAACGAACGAACGAATGAATTTTATTTTCAAAGGTTCACAAATTGGGCACGCAGGCAAGTGTTACATTCGGCTCTTCCAAACACCCGTCTTTCACACAGAATTTGTATTTTATCAATAAAAATGTTATACTGATAATATGCATATTGTCAATATCAAGAAAAAACACAAAAGCATGGGTGGTAAAATGCATGCACACTAGCGCACGCACACACACACACATACACGCACGCGCCTACAACCACTAACTTAAACACGCATATATACACATATACATACACTCACATACATTCACACACACCCATTCACCCACATACATACATACATACATTCACACACACCCATTCACCCACATACATACATACATACATACATACATACATACATACGTACGTACGTACATACATACATACATACATACATACATACATACATACATACATACATACATACATACATACATACATACATACATACATACATACATACATACATACATACATACATACATACATACATACATACATACATACATACATACATACATACATACATACATACATACATACATACATACATACATACATACATACATACATACATACATACATACATACATACATACATACATACATACATACATACATACATACATACATACATACATACATACATACATACATACATACATACATACATACATACATACATACATACATACATACATACATACATACATACATACATATACATACATACATACATACATACATACATACATACATACATACATACATACATACATACATACATACATACATACATACATACATACATACATACATACATACATACATACATACATACATACATACATACATACATACATACATACATACATACATACATACATACATACATACATACATACATACATACATACATACATACATACATACATACATACATACATACATACATACATACATACATACATACATACATTCATACACACACATACATACATACACACACACATACATACACACACGCACGCGCGCACGTGCACACACACACACGCACGCACGCACGCACGCACGCACACACGCACACACGCACACATACATACATACATACTTACACACACACACAAACACACACACAAACACAGACACACTCACACACACACGCACACACACGCGCACGCACGCACGCACACACGCGCGCACACAGACAGACAGACAGACAGACACACAGACACAGAGAGACAGACAGACAGACAGACAGACAGACAGACAGACAGACAGACAGACAGACAGACAGACAGACAGACAGACAGACAGACAGACAGACAGACAGACAGACAGACAGACAGACAGACAGACAGACAGACAGACTAATGCATACACAGACACACCCACAGAAACAAACGGAGACACACACACACACACACACACACTCACATATACACACAGACACACACACACACACGCAGACACCTAAACCCGCAGACACACACTCACGCAGACACACACACACACACACACACACATGCACAAACACACGCAGATGCAGACACACACACACAAACACATACAGTTACAGACACAGGCAGAGACAAAGACACACGCAGACACACAAACACACACACAATTGCAGACACACAATCGCAAACACACACTTACACACACGCTGATGCTCACGCAGACACATACACACACAGACACATACGCAGAAGATCAAAACCTGAGCTGTTCAGCTGAAATGCTGCATAAAAATGCAAAGAATACAGCAGAGCAAGAAGAAGAACACCTCGATATCCTCTTGCATGACCGGAACGTCAACAAAAAAAAAAACAACTGGTTGGTTAACATCCTCTTCCGAAAGCTAAGCTATGTTTAACATACAAAGCGCCGTTGTGGTCTGGAAAGAACGATGGTGGAGGATGCAGTTTCATGGGGGTGGGGCGAGGCATAGACTGGTCGGTGCGAAGGTGGATACATAACATTGAAGATGAATTTGCTCTAAAAGCAGACAAGGCTGGGAAATTAGCTAAAGAAAGAGAGACTTGCAGGCGTGCCATGAAGATGGCGGGAAGTCACCGTGGCGTAGCGGCTAGATCGGAAGGTCGTGGGTTCGCTGCCTGGCGGAGCCGGACTTTTTTCAAAAATGACCTTGACTCCCATGTCGACCCAGCCTTGAGTGGGTTCCGGGTGCAGTTCCGGGAAGTAAGGACGGCCGGGTGGATGCTGACCACATCACCCATCTTGTGCCAACTGGTCTATAAAACTATAGGTCTGGCCCTATAGGTCCTATAGCCTAAAGACGTGGAAAATGGACTTCTTCTATGGAGAGAGCGACGTTATCTAAAGGAAAAGCTGACTGACTGATTTAGAAATAACATCTCAAGAATGAGAATCAAAAAGCTACAAAGCCGGTTCAATAACATAGCCATAGAGCACGGTTAAATTTTGGCACCTACACACTGTTGCGAAGTAACCCGAGGTCCAGTGTGGGCTGGGAGTTGAATAGTTCTTAATGCCTTATCTTCCTCATAATATATGAACAGTGCAGTAAAACAGGCTATCTTTCACACCCACACACAAAACAAAATTTAAAAATTGTAAAGTTTGTTTAATTTGTTGCATTATTTTGGTACAAATGTTTTATTCCTTCCCACGTGTGTATTTAGAATTTTTCAGAAATGGGTTTGCTCGTCGACTTTTCTGCAACAGATACATCCTCTGAAGTGGAGCAGCAGCTGGACCAGGGGCGAGAGAACAGCTCTTCTACATCTTCCAGTTTGCTTCCCTTGGTTTCTGGTAAAAACACTAGAAAAAACACCAGTCCCACCACAGAGATCCCCACAAACAGCCAGTAGGTACCTGTAGAAGTCGAACAGTGTGTGAAAAATTTAGGCCAGAAAGTCATAAAATATGTGTGTTACATCTAGGAAGTAAACAAAGTTAACGACCCTTTTCACGCCGTCATGTGTATTGTGCATATAGCGCTAGATCTATGTTTTATACCAGTCGGTCGCCTTTAATTTCCAGGAGTTTACCTGGTACGAAGTCAAAGCTAAGTCGACCTGGGAACCAACGTGCTTTTTGAAAAACAAATTCCAGCTTCATGCGAATTTGAACCCACGAACCCAGCCACACTTGAAAGTCTCTCATTCTCAAGCCATTTCCTGAGCTGTCTGTGCTTTCATAGCCAATGAATATTAAATGTCTCTATCCACCTGTGTGAATGTCGACCATTGCCTCGTTTTCCGGAAACTGCACCGTCAATTACCGTTCTCTCCACACCATCGTGGCGCTGAACATATCCAAAATACCTCAGCTTTCCAGAGAGGATGCTGTTTACGAGCCGGTTCTCCTTTGATGTCCAGGTCATGAAGGATGTCAACGTTTGTCTTCTTTTTGGTCCAAGGGATTCTGGCAATTTTTCTGCGGCATTCAGTTCAAAAGCTCCTATGTTCTTCTTTGAAGACTGAGTTTGATCACACATGAGATTATAGTGATGTCTAGCGTTTATAATTAATTTATGAAGCGGCTAATTATTTTATGAAACGCATCTCACAATAATGAGTTAAAAGGTCCGAGAGAAAATGAGATAAAAGCTACGATGTTCTTCTTCGAAGACTGAGTTTGATCACACATTAGATAATAGTGATGCGTTTATTGTTAATTACTGAAGCCAGTTCTTTATAAAACGTGTCTCACAATAATGAGATAAAGGGTAGTCCCCTGGATGGTGCTTGGGGTGATGTGATGTTTGAAATGTTAAAAAAGGGTTGGGGAACCTCCAGCTCGCGGGCAGACTCACATAATAATTTTGACTGGCTTTACTAAAGTAGTCGGCTCTGTGGCTAAGTCGATGCGAACGCTTCGTAATGCCGGGATGCCAGGTTCAATCCCAGCTGCGGGCCATTCGCCTTGAGTTGGTTTCGACAGTGGTATCAAGAAAGCCCACCGTCCAGAAAACAATGGCAAACTACTGGACGTAATTTTGTCTAGCTGTTGGGGTTGGTTCTGCAACGGCCTGTAAAGGATACGCAACTAACCTTACTAAAGTAACCACAATGATATAGTCAACCAAATACAGTTAGTCTGTTTTTTAAGTTGATGGCTGTGTATGGTCCGCCCACGGTGTTAACCAAATTCACAGAAAACAGGTACCCGATTCCTTGTGTTAGGCCATCATCTAATTTAGGGCAGTCTTTCCCATATGATGGCCTGCTGATCGCCGGGCTCCGCGGAACAAATATAGGAGTTTTCATTTGCCTCAGCTTTAGACAATTCGTGTAAATGGCATTTTTCCACGCCGTCAGGAGTATAGGACTAGACGTATATTTTATAGACTAGTCGGCGCTCGGTGGATGATGTGTAAACATCACATAGGCCGCCTTTACTTCCCATAACTTTTCTTGGTACCTATTTAAGGTTGTGTTAACCTGGAACCAATGTCATTTTTGAAAAGTGTCTTTTTCTGTCAGGATCTAAACCCATTACCTGCGGATCGGCAGGCGAGCATCTATTCGCTACACCACGACTTTAGAAAGCTTTTTTTTTCGATTGTAGTATTTATAAACTGTAATAGGTTCTTCAGTGTAACTGTTAAAATGTTTAGGGGCCTTGGCAAGAAGGGGGATCTGTATATCTAAGCTAACTGGGAACCACTGATGTGGACTACTTCATAATGAAGAGAGGTGATCAACGGTAGACGCAGTACTGGTTTACCGTCACCACCAGCAATGCACAGCTCTTCCATTCCCCTCTGCCACAAATATACAGCCGTCCCAATATGGTACGCAATGTTTCATTATTTTTAAGCCTTATCTGGCTGTTGTTCTTCTTCTTTCTTCTGCCTTTCTATCCCCAATGGAGCATAGGCCCTCAGCCAACTCACGCCAAGTCGTTCTATCCTTCGCCATTGCATGGAGCTCTCCCCATGTCCATCCCATCTTTCTAGCTTCATTCTCCAGCTCTCTTCTCCATGTGTTGTTTAGCCATCCTTTATTCCTTTGCCTCTATCGTTTCCAATGCAAAGACATTCTAGTTATGCTGTTCTCCTGTTTCCTCAGTGTGTGTCCTATTCAACGCCAGCGTCTTTTCCTTACCTCTTGGTATACTGGAGCCTGTTTAGTTCTCTTCTTAAGCTCTACGTTAGTTATTTTATTATACCATTTAATTCCCTATATTATGCGCAGGCACCAGTTAACGAATGTCTGTAATGTATTAGTAATTGCCTTCGTTGCGGGGGATCCTAATATAACCTAACGGTTGAACGTAATTTTTCTAAATATCGCACGGGCGATTCTCATCTGAATAGTGGCACTTTGTGTCACCAGGTGTTTGTCGCTCGCGTGCTGTCCTGGTGGGGTTAACTTTATTCATTCATTTATTCCCCTCTGTCATCGGAGGAATCTGTTGAGTTTTAATGACTGTTCCTCAACTTCTCATCTGCTGAGTGGCATTTATGGCATCTCCCCGTGTGGATTCCTGGTCCCATTTTAGGGAAAGGGAGAGAATAAACCCACCGTTCAATAATATGTATGACGTAAAAGGCTATCTTACCGTATTTAGTAATCGTCTCTGTCATGGTGAGAAAGGTCATGGACACCAAAAGGTTAAACACCCAGTTAGTTGCTGCAGACAGCGCGTTGCCCGTGGACCTGGCCCACAGAGGGTGGATCTCCGAGTTGATTGTCCACGGCATAGGACCCATCCCTTTAACGAAAGCAGAAAGGATAGTAGTAAACAATAGTACTTCTTCTTCTTCTTCTTCTTCTTCTTCTTCTTCTTCTTCTTCTTCTTCTTCTTCTTCTTCTTCTTCTTCTTCTTCTTCTTCTTCTTCTTCTTCTGCTTGCTTCTTCTTCTTCTTCTTCTTCTTCTTCTTCTTCTTCTTCTTCTCTTCTTCTTCTTCTTCTTCTTCTTCTTCTTCTTCTTCTTTTCTTTCTCTTCCACCATTTACCTCAGTGAGGTGTTTGGGGGAGATGTAAGGATCGTTTGTGCGCTTTTCCCAATGCATTGTACAAGCTAGTGTTCATCTCTGTTAGGTTGTTTCTGATGATGTCGCTCCATCTCTTGTGTGGTCTTCCCCTTGCTCTGAGTACTGTACAATAGTACTATCCACATTTAAAACAACGTTTATATCGAATATTACACTCAATTAATAGAAAATTATTTAAATTATGTGCCGGCTACAATATACCACTGTTTTTTTTTTTTTTGGGGGGGGGGGGGGGGGGGGGGGGGGGAATGTTACGCGGTAAGGTCAAATCTGTTCCTTGGATCAACTCTCACACCACGATACAAAAACAACCACAACGAATTTTTTTTGGTCCACCTCTGCGCTGTCAATATCTTGCATCCAAGTTCCTTGAGGTCGGCCACTATCTCGTTTTCTGTAAACTTCAACGACCATCGACGTTCTAACTGACTGAAGTTCAGCCTCATCAGGACATCACATTGAGCTATAAACACCCGGTGGCACAAAGTGCCACCATTTGGATGAGGTCACCGGGGGAGAGGTCCCAGAAACCCCTTTCAACCCGTAAGCTGGGTTATATTAGGGCCCCGGCAACAGCCGGGGTGCGTCTTCAAAACGCCAAAAAAATGGGTCCGCCTTTGGGACGCAAAAATATTATCAAAACAAACATAACACCACCAGATGTCGATAAATAGGAGAACTTAAATGAGCTGAACTTTGCCGACAATCAGTGCATATTCCACAGTGAAAGTAAAAAAAAAAAACTGCAGGGCCACATAAACCAACTATACGACAGTTGCCTTAAAATCATATTATGATCAGTAGTGAAAAAACAAACAAACAGAAGTCATGAGAATAAGTAGAGAACAACAAACCATCGACATAAAGATCAAAGATCACAGTCTGAAACAAGTGCAAGAATTTAAATACTTAGGAAACATCTTTACATACAATGGTAAAATAGACAGACAGATAGAAACGAGAATCCAACAATCCAACAATGTCACCTACTATCCAAGTAGAGACAAAACACAAATTATAAATACAATATATAGACTTTAGGTTACCAGTGTCAGATTTAGACATTGACTAAAGAACACTAGAGAAAACTAGCCACCTGCGAGATGAGATGTTTGAGAACGGCTGTAAATTTAAAAAAAAAAGAAGAAATTGAGTGAGAAACGACGTGATTACAAGAACTGTTGGAACATCGCCGATCGTCAAATTTATTGAGAAACAAAGAATGACTTTGGCCATCTAATGAGAATGAAACCAAAGATGCCAGCAGTAAGAGCTTACAACCTGAAAATAAAAAAAATCGAGAGGCAGGGGGCATATCGAGCGACCGAGCGCGCTCTGGCTCGGCTGCCGATCGTCTGTTGAACTGCGACACCTAGCGGCATAAGCAGATAGTGACAAAATAAGAAAGAAGAAGAAGACTGCGACGCAGTTTAATCCGCACACTACCTTTATCGTTGCCTTCAGGCCATCACCAGTATACCACAGGTTTTTTTTTTTTTTTTATATGATCATAACATGCTTTATTAGTAAAATACAACTGCTGTGCGAAAGATGGTTGACTGGAAGGGCCGAATGTAAGACGGACCTGCGTGCCCAATTTGTGACCCTTTGAAAATAAAGTTCGTTCGTTCGTTCTCTTCCCCCCCCCCTTCCTCTTCCCTCCCTCTCTTCCCCCAGCCCCCCTCCTCTACCCTTCCTCTCTTCCCCCCACTCCTCTACCCTCCCTCCAGCCCCCCTCCTCTACCCTCACTCTCTTCCCCCAGCCCCCACTCCTCTACCCTCCCTCTCTCTCCCCCCCAGCCCCCCTCCTTTACCCTCACTTTCTTCCCCCAGCTACCCTCTACCCTCCCTCTCTTTTTAATCTAAAGCCACCCACATTTTTACAATAGAATTAGTTTTTTAATATACAGCCCCACCCTCCTTTCTTCCCCAGCTTCCCCCCCTCCTCTACCCCCCCCCTCTCCTCTTACCCTCCCTCTCTTCCCCCAGTTTCCCCCCCCCTTCTCTACACTTTCCTCCTCTCTTCTTCCTCCAAGCCCCCTCCTCTACCCTCCTCTCTTCCCCCCGCCTTCCCCCCCCCCTCCTCTACTCTTCTTCCTCCAGCCCCTCCTCCTCTACCCCCCCTAATCTACCCTCCCTCTCTTCCCTAGCATATCCCCCCCCTCCCTCTCTTTTTAATCTCACTAAACACCTGCCCACATTTTTACAATACAATTAGTTTTTAATATACAGCGCCCCCCTCCCTCTCTCCCTTAGACCCCCCCCCCCCCCCCCCTCTCTTTTAATCTAAAGCCACCCACATTTTTACAATACAATTAGTTTTTCACATACAGCGCCTCCCTCCTCTACCCTTCCCCCAGGCCCCCTCCTCTACCCTTTCCCCAGCTCCCCTCCTCTACCCTTCCCCCAGCCCCCCCCCTCTACCCTTCCCCCTCCCTCCCTTCTCTACCCCCCTCCTCTGCCCCTCCTTCCCCCTCTCTACCCCTACCTCCCTTCCCCCTGCCTCTCTTCCCCCCTTCTCTACCCCCCCTTCTCCTACCCCTCCTTCCCCTACCTCCTCCTCCTACCCCCCTCTACCCTCCCTTCCTCTTCCCTCCCCCTCTCTCCCTCCCCCCTCCCTCCCCTTCTCTACCCCCCTCCTCTACCCTTCCTTCCCCCCTCTCTAACCCTGCCTCTCTTCCCCCCCTCTCTACCCCCTCCCTTCTCTACCCCCCCCCCCCCCCCCCAGTTTTTGAGACATGATTTTGTTTTTCTTCTTCTTTGCTTTCGGTTTCGTATACTCTGATTAGAACATCAACTTGGTTGCCTCTATGAACTCGCATGTCAGGAGTAGGTCTTTCATGGTTTCCCCATAGCTTGCTCTGTACATTTTGATCTTGAGGCCAGGTGTCTTTTTAGAAGATAGCAACGCAGAAGTTTCCGCTTACCCCAGCGGATACTCGACCTTGGGTATTAGTTTCTTGCAAAATATCTGAATAATACATTTTAGCTTCTCAGGAAATATCAGCCTCATTCTGTAAATACCATACCTCTGAATAACTGTTTATACATGTTCCTTAACTGACATGTTTTCACATTCATAACTCGTTACGTGTAGCGTGTCATTTTTTCTTTAATAGTCTACAAATTAGACAGTTTTGAAAATAAATGCCTTAGAAGAATAATAAATTTCAAATGGTCAGATTTCCGAACCAATACACAAATAAGGCAAGAATCCAGGCAAGAGTATGTGTCTAATTTTATACGAAAACGTCGCTGGAACTATGTCGGCCACGCCCTTAGAATGGATAAATCAAGACTTCCTTACCAAGCCCTCATTTGGACACCACAGGGAAAAAGATCTTGTGGAAGACCAAGGGAAACCCTACGTAGAACTATCATCAGGGAAGGCTCGCTCATGAGCCACTCAAACATCCAAGACCTACAGCAGATTGCAACGAACCGCCATGCATGGAGAGTCATGACCTCTGCCCTATGTGCTGCACTCGACACAAGAGGAAAGACTAACTAACTAACTAACTAACTAACTAACTAATCTACAAATACAAGGATTATTGCGTATTCTGTTCTTCATTATTATAAAATGCACCCGTTATCCGTCATATTCTGTTCTTTATCGCTGTGGTGCATCTTCCATCCAATGTTACCTATATGTCCCGATACTGAAATTCGCTGTTTTTTAGACCCAGAGCCGGGGCAGGGTATTTGCTAGATGCCAGGAAGTCGTTAGTTGAATCCATATCAAAATAATTAACGACCTTGATTATCAGATCCACCCAGCCTAAAATATGTACTAGAGTCGGTCTCTCTCTCTCCGCAGAACGACTAACTGCCTGCCGAGAGCGTCGCACGGAGCATGAACTCTGTAGTTCCGGTGAGGATCCCAAGGATCTCTATAAACACTGCACTCGTGAACTGAACGGCGTAGTAGTGAAACGAACCCACGACCCTCAGATCACGAGGTAAACTGCTTTATCACTTATAATGTCTTCCCAAGTAGAGACGGCAGGGGTGATGTTGATCACATAATCGGTCCAGCGCGGATTGGTCTATAGAAATGTCATCAGAGCACTGTATGTTCGAGGTATCACTGGCGTATAAATAATCATCTAATTAAAACCGAAGTAGGTTGTTAATTCTTTATCTTTACAGGAAGTTGCAACACCAAACCCAGATGGATATGTGTGTATATGTGTGTATATGTGTGAGTGTTTGTGTGTGTGAGAGAGAGATAGAGACAGACAGAGAGAGACAGAGAGACAGAGGGAGAGAGAGATAGAGACAGACAGAGAGAGACAGAGAGAGAGAGAGAGAGAGAGAGAGAGAGCGAGAGAGAGAGATGCTACTAGGCAATTTCGCTTTATTTAATTTACCACTTCACTAGACGGTCGGCGCTTCATTCTATTGCCGAAATCAGCACCAAACGGTCTGCTGCCAAATCGCCTGCAGCTGGAATCGAATTAGGTATTTCGGAACTGCTAGGTGCATTCACTAGCCTAATGTAATAGGCTGGAAATTTACTGTTCAGCAGAACAACGATTTTATTTAATCTGGTTTCAAAATGACCAAGGGGCCACATGAACAGCTTTTAGTCTTAGACAGTAAAATGGGGGAAAATCTGGCCACTGGGTATAAAAGACTTTGCTTAGTCTTTCAGTGAGCAATTCGATTTCCGGACGCACCCTGTGGAGGCCTGCCCGGCTGTTGTAGCTTTGCACTTAGGGCTGAACAGCGTGGGTAAGCCACTACAGGGAAGGCCGTTGTCTGACTGAATTCCCTGGTTGATCTCACGGTACGTTTCAATTAGTTAGGTGGTGGTAGATTTGATTTCTATTTTGTATTCTCGCTAGGAGGTAGTTTAATGGCAGGTCGCTATAAGTGATTTATTAGCATATTGAAGCTTAACGTACATGTTTCGGTTTTTGCCATTGTTGAGGTCATCTCGCTGAGCGCATGGTGTCATTATCAAAACTTGTTAGCTGGAGAGTCAGTACTTTAGATTCTGGTCGAGCACGTTGGTTATTGTTAATATTATTTGTGGACCACGCTGATGTTATGCTGAGTAAAATAAACAGCTGTTTAATGTGATTATAATACATTTGCTTAATTTAATTTAGGATCTGTAGTCCGTGGTTCGTGTAGGTATGTCTACCCGTGTAGTTAGGTTGTCGTCATGTAACTCGCGATACAGATATTCATTGTTTGGGTACTAGTGAAATATTCTAGGATCTCTGCGCAGAAGAATCCTTGACTTTACTTTCCTGTTTTTGTTGTTTAGCTGGGAACTATTACATTTTGTCATAATCAAATTGTCTCCTTTGTCTCTCCCTTCTTCTGTTTTTTTCCTCCCTCTTTCTTCCCGCTAGCACACTAAGCTACTGAAGCTGCGGGCACATGCACACTGAGTGCCTCCCCTCCCTCCCTCCCTCCTCCCAACCCTCAGAAGATGTACCGGGGGTGTGGCTAAGTGACACCCTCCCCTCCGCCCTTAGAAAATTATTCGTTTGAAGGTTGCGCTGAGTTCCTTTGTCGATGTCCCTGATGGCGATAAACCCAATCAATTCATCCCAAACACAGGGGATCCCTGAGTTCTCCGGAAAGTCCACTATTATAGTGGTGTTACGATTTGAAAAAAATACCCAATAATGCTAACACCCCTACAATATTGGACTTTCCTGGAAACTCTTGGATTCCCCGTGTAAGAGTGGGAAAATAAAGAACTCATCAATTTGTACTTACCTGGAGCAAAACACATGAGGTAAAGTGCAAGTCCGAGTATGGCCATCCAGGAGTACGATGTGGGACAATAGTTATGTGACCAGGTGAAACCTGCGGGAAGTGTAGCGTTCCCACATGTACCATCCTTGGATCTTTCGTCGTCTGCCGGATCAACGACCAGACATGACCCATTTGTAGAGCCAACACTACCAGTAAAACAAAACCCACAACCAGAGTTTTCTATGCAGTCTTCGCACCACCTGGAATTGAAAATAAGTTTATGGTGCATTGTATTTATAGAAAGGCGAATTAGAAACGATGGTGATTGAGAACAGTCAAGATGGCGAGGCTAGGACATGTTTCGAACATCCTAGAGTGGAAGTTGTGTTAAACTAATTTGAATGTGATAGTCTAGTTTAAGTGTGACATTCTAGGTAGTCTGAAAACACTGTGACCTGTCCAGCAAACCGACAGTGACTTACTTTGTTGGCTCGTAGAAAATGAAGAGATCTCACGAACCGTTTAGAATATAAGGGACAGTACATGAAGCACACAGAAGGGCCCTTTCCAGGGTCTCTTCCTGTCCTGAAACCGCGAGGCATTCCAGGAGTAGACAAAATGAAAAGGAGACAGACATGGCGCTGAGACTTAAAAAACAGCCCCCCAAACTTCGTGCCAGGTTAAACATCCTTGTCCAGCTGTTAGACACTTACCTGCGGATTTGAAGGTTGTGGTTTCAAATTCAAAGAGAGATAAACTTTTTTTTTTTTTTTTTATAAATGTCACTGGCTCCCAGGTCGATCCAGCCTTAAATTAGTACCAGATAAAGTCCTGGGAAGTAAAGGGGGTCGGCGTGATGTTGATTACATCACCCACAGAGTGCCGATTAGCCTATAAAATAAGGTATAGCCCTATGTGCAAAATTCGCCTGAAAGCGTGGAGGGGGGTTCCATACTTTACTTTTGCCCATCGTGTCAAGGTCTGAACCATAGCTGGGAACACAACAGCTATTCTTTTGTTTGACGGTGGTAAAATATCCAACTCACTTCTACTGCTTTAAACTGTACGCATCCTTGTGTGGGTTCCGGGGCTCTATTGTGGGGAAAATAGGAAAAGTCCCACTGCCTACGCAACGTGCATGTCGTAAGAGTCAACTAACTGGGAGCTTCCTTCAAAGACGGAGTGAATCTGCCTGAAAGGCAGGGAGCCAACACTCAGCATACAAATTAGTCAGGTCTGTAAAACGGAATTGCACACAACATTTAGGTTCTGGAACAGGACTAAAGTCCACACGTGGACGAACAATCAGAACTTTCGGCCGGAGATTACAACGCCAAGAAGAAGAAAAAACTGAATAACGCCTCAAAGTCCTTACCGTTATACCATCTAGTCTCAGACAACTGTAAAATGTATACACCTTTTAAATGTAAAGTAAATAAAGATCCCTTTTCACGCCTTTAGGCTCATCGGACATATGGGAAGATCGCCAATATTTTTACAGACTAATCGACAGTAGGTGGGTAATGTGGTTAGCATTATTACGCCGGCGGTCTTTACTTTCCCAGGACATACATCTGGCCACCGGCAACCACCCCCCCCCCCCCCCCACCCCGGCGACCTACCCCCCCCCCCCCCTCTCTCTCTCTCTCACACCATGATAAAAAATCCACGCAGCCAACTGTGGGTTTCGATCGTTGGCAATTACAAGTCGGAATCGCCTTTTTAAACATACGGATAATGAAAATTTTGTTTAATTTTTGTTGAAATAAATATTAAAGAATGCTTTCGGAAAGTGAAAGAAATTATATTTAATATTCCACTAAAAGGCGTTAAGCAACATCTCAAAACATGTTATTTTCTTGATTTCCTAAATGCAAAATCATTTATTACGTCATCAAAAGAAGTGCTGCGTCAATCACTTTTTGTACACAGAATGCTACGTGCAGACAATTTGTTGGGGGGGGGGGGGGATTTTTATTCCAGCACTGTATACAACAGGGAGTCCCAGGTCCACCAGCCTTAAGTGGGTACGGGGTGCAGTCCTGGGAAGTAAAGGCGGCCGGCGTGATGCTGACCACAGCACCCATCTTGTGCCGATTGGTCTATAAAAATATTGATCTAGCCTTTAACTTGTCTCTTTAACTTTCGCTAGCGGCTGAAGATGACGACCAAGAATTGATGGGAATGTCCCAAACGCTATGAAGTCGGTTGACTCAACTCAGCTCAACCCAAGCCACTGTAGCGATTAACACTGAAAAGAGACTGAATTTTAGCATCAGTTACCTGTACGATGAACATTCTGTGGCATTGGTTGAATGATCGAACGTAGTTATTTCTGGAGAGTTGAAAGCTGCCAGCTGAAATGATACTGCCAGGACAACTAAACTCAGCATCGTGCCTGCAGTAAATAAATGTTTTATATATAAATATTATTACACTTATCTCGTTAACTTAGTATTACATAATCTTCCAAACAGCCAACAAAGAACAGAGCTAAAGGTAAAGACGCGCACTAATACAACAGTAAGTTTTGACCTAATTCCTACCCTTCTTCTTCTTCATCCATCTCCTCATTTTGTTCTTCTTCTCCTGCACCTTCTTCTTCCTCTTCTTCGTTTTTTTTTTCTTTTCGACTTCTTCTTCTTCTCCCTGTTGAAATAACACAATATCAATACTGATTTACAATTATAGATGACATCCTTACCAAACAAGCCAATCGAAGGAGTTTCCTTCGACCCACTCGTTCAACCAACCAGACACAACTACTGCTAATATTGTTCTTCTTTTTATTTTATTTTCCTTATCCTCTTCCTCCCATTCTCCCCCTCACTCTCCTCCTTCTTTTTCTTCCCCCCCCCCCCCCCCCCCCTCATAAGACCACACTACGCCATTACAGATAAACAACCTAACCAAACAAAAGAAGGAGTTTCCTTCCATCCACCCAATCGTTCAACCATTCCCACACAACTACTGCTAGTTTTATCCGTTTCTTCTTCTTAATATTTTTTATCCTCCGCTTCCTCAACCTCCTCTTTCTTCTTCTTCTCCCTATGAGTCAACACTATACCATTATATATGAACATCCTTACCAAACAAGCTAAGGAGAAGGAGTTTCCTTCGACCCAATCGTTCAACCAACCAGACACCGACCAAGGTAAAGAGGAAGTTGATGCCCGCTGTGAGCGCTGCTAGCCAAATCGCCGTTGTGTCGTTATTTATGCCGGCCATCTTGATTATAGTGGCGCTGTAGTACCTAAAGTGAGCACAGTAAAGTAAAGTAAGCAAAGAGCCCTTTTCCCACCTTTGCGCATTGGACATAGAGTAAACGACCCTTTACCATTCCTTTAGGCGTAGTGGGCATATAGTGTAAACCAGTCGAGCAGACCTTGATCGGTAATGTGGTAAACATCATACCTGCCGCCTTTACTGTGCAAAGTCTATGATACAGAGGTGCC